TTTAAATAATTTCTATTTGGCCTTCACCGTAAAATCGTAATTTTATTATGAATGTGAAAATGGTGTGAGTAGAATATAGGCATTTGTAGAGGAAGTCTTTTTCCAGTTCCGAATGTGTTTTTAAATATTACTTCGTTTATGAATAGTTGCACTTTTTTTAGATCAACTGGAATAATTTTGCATTTGGGTCAAAAAGAGAATAAATGTCTTCAGCCATTTTACTGAGTTTGCATTGCTTTGTTTCCCTGTAAAATTCTTATGTGTAAGCAAACGAATTTCTAAACCAATTAACTTTAATAACCAAGTACTTACTTTAACAAAGTTTCTTGAACATGTGTCATTTTCCTTAACAGGGGAAAAAAAAACTTAAATTGCTTTTGCGCATTCTAAGCTTTTTTTAACCCGATTTTAATCTAAATATGGCGTGATTTGCTAGGTGGGAGTGACACAGAATGTAGAAAAGATTATGAGAGCTTCAGATAATTCGAATATTCGTTTCACCGCGCGTTTAGCTTTTATTTTCGAAATTAAGGTTAACATTTTTTGTTTGTTTACAAAAACTGATATTCTTCATTTCTTTTTACATCGAATTCTAAAGTAAAAGAATATTCGTAAGAGTACCTGCATTGTGGTTACACTGAATTTCCCCCTTTTCTTTTTAATTCATGTTTCTGACACATTTTCCCCTTTGCGTTTATGTGTAACAGGATTTTGTAATAGCTTACGAAATATTTTCACAATTACTGTTACGTTCATTTTGTGTAAAGGAATTTTATAAATTATGTTGTAAGTTGATAAATGTAAGAGTCGAAGATGTTAATGAAAATTCTAAGCATAAACTCTTCGGTGTACACTTTGATATTAACCCTGATCACGGGTACGAAATTCATAAAAGCGGGGAGAAAAAAATCATGCGAAACTGATCACAGTTGAAATCCCAGTTTCTGCTGGCGTAATAAGAACGCTCCCCGCATATATTCAGGATAAAAGGTGAATAAATTATTCCCGGTTCCCGATTTCGGAGCTTAAACACTGAATAAATCATTATTTTACATGTTATCACATAACAATATACATTGTCCAAGACGCACTTTACCAAATAAAATAAAAACTGATACCTGCCAGCAAATCGCGTAAGCAACCAATGCAGCTCGTAATCAAATCCGATGGATGTTATTATAATGGAGATTCAAAACGATTCTTACACCAATAAAAATATGGGTCTAAAATTCTGCTATGCAGTCAAATGAGACTAAATTACCGATGTACTATGCGTTAATTACTTATCCGAAAACTTCCTATATGGCAAAGCAAAAAATTACTAAAGCACTAAGGTGCTTGCCATACTCGCAAATAATGTGCACACCAAAAGAGTTTTAAGAATATCTAGCACCTGCTGCTTATTAAAATCACTTTCGCTGCAAATATATTGAGATGAAATTTTATAACGCGCCCTGAAATGCATATATGTATTTTCCTATTTCCTGCTGTAGCGTGATAGGACATGACTCTGATTCTAATACTAGCACTAATTATTTTAATAATAGTACTAATTATTTTAATAATATTACTAATTACTCTAAAATAGTATTAATTACTCTAATAATAGTACTAATTCTAATAATAGTACTCATTTTAATAATAGTACTAATTCTAATAATAGTACTCATTTTAATAATAGTTCTAATTCTAATAATAGTACTAGACCCTAACTACAGCCCTAAGTGGTTTACTTACTTGGTAATCCTACGATTACGTCTCACAGTATCTTCTTGCAATACAAGTGCTGCGGCAGGGCTACACCATTTTTTCAAACCTAACCCAAAATGTCTCGGTTGGAGCTTTGTCCCGGGTAGAGTCAACCAATTAAGTTATGCTTCTGAAATAAGTCAATTCAATGATCAATAAGATGATTCAAATGATCAATAAGTTCAATAAGTTGATAATGATTCAAATGATCAATAAGTTCTGCTTCTGAAAGATGACGTGATCTCAATCTGAGCGATAATCGATTACTGTTTGGCATTTAAGTCTTTGTAGTAAGTGAAAATGGTAACCTAGCTTCGTGGATTTCCTGGAAATGTGCGGGTTCTGAGAGTTGCCCCTTTCGACGTCCAGTCCCGCGTAGCCGAAACATCTCAATCATATTATGTTTCGGTTACGCGGGACTGGACGTCGGGATGTCTGTCCTGTTATATTTTCTGTTTGCAAAATATTAAAAAAATTATTAAAAAATAGTCATAATTTGTATTTACTCTTAAAATGATAAATTTATTTATTTATTATTATTTTTAACATTGTAAATTTTTGTGCATTTTACTTTTCCATTCACAGTAATTATGTATTGATATGCAAGATAAAAATATAAATCAAAATTATAATTTAAATTTGTAACAGTCCCTTAATATCTCATTTTATTTGGATATTATCCCTCTCCATCTTCTCATAACGCTAAATGACACAACTCATTGGGAACTTAAATTCAAAATTTGCAAACCAAAATCTTTGTCCTTTTGAACCAGGCTTTAATATTAAATGTAGTAAATGTAGGTACCGATAAAGAAAAAGGGCCACTTCTCCCATTTTGTTTCCGTTGGCTTATTGAAATATTTGATCAACTAAATAAAAAGGAATATTTTATTCCGGCTACGACTGCAAATTTCCTCATTGCGCATCATCCATGTGTGCTTCAACATTTACCTTCAACAATGCATCTAAATTATCACCTTCAACGTTTTCTAAATTATTTTATTTTTTGAAATAAATTTTATTTTATTTTGTAATTTCACTTTTTGAATAATATATATTATTAATTAACATAATCCAGTATAGTGTTAAGCAGTGTGTGGAATCTGTTCCACTTGCGCTACTCATGTTTAGACTTTCTAAACTTTTGACCCATACATATCTTTGAAATAAATTTCTTGAGAGTAGAAATAACCCTATCATGTTTTAGCTGCTGCAGATTTTCCCATCTTCGAAGGATATTGATCCAATAATACTGCGGCCCATCGTGCGTTTTTAGTCTAATGCAGAATTGATGTTCTGATTCCTAAATGTGTTTTCAACGGGCTTAACACTGCGTATTTCTCAGCGTACACGACACATTCAGTCTGCATGGAAAGACTTCCATTTCATATTCTATATTTATGTCGGATCTAAATTCTTCTGTATATTTTTGCATTCGAACTTATGCATTTTGAAATTTAATTACAGACATTTGAGGAATTAAGGGAAAAATGTTTTATGAGCCTTGTACATAACTTTCCGGAATCATATATACATATTTTGACGAATGAGTTCAAATAATACCAAATTTTATTATTATTTAAGGAATTCTTTAGTTTTTAAAAACTTTATATTTTTAATGATGTATTCGTATTTAATTAAATTTTAGTATTTTAAATTAAATCTTTTTAATTTAATTTTCTTTAATTATATATATATTTAATCCAGATATAATTCAGAAACGCGGCTCTGAGGAAAATTCTTTCGACTACTCCTTGACGAAGACTAAAGATTTTCCTATCTCCGAAGCATAATAGTATTGCCTGATTTTTTATAGTATTGCGTGAATTTTGTTTTATTTTGCATTAAAATAATTTTCAGTTTCGTTTGAATGTTTTTAGAATATATCATTTTGTGCTTTTTCTATTAGTACGTTTATCCCTATAGAAGAATATTAATTCTGTGTAATTTCTTTCTTTTTTTTATTTTATATACACATATGCTGCTCGAGTTCGAGTATTATTGATTATTTAATTAAATTAATATGTTAATATGGCTATCTGAAAATCACTCGAAAGATTGGTCATCGGTAAAAGTAGAAAATCGGTAAAAGAGCAATAAATCTAAGTCAATACTAGGATGGAACTTAGTCGAGTGCTTCCTTTTAATTATTAAAAAACAATTTATAAATTACATATATATTGTAACACTCCACAACTTTAATAATATCATAAATTTCGTGTATATATATATATTATTTTTGTTCAATTATTCTATATTGTTGTGCATATAAGCACAACACAGTTTAGAATTTTAAGTTAAATTATAAGTTTATGAACATTAAAGTCACTCAATATTCTGCGAAATCAATTGAATAATCAAAATATAATGATTAAATAATTAAATTAATATTTATGATGAACAGTCTATTATGAAGAACATATACATTAAAAATGGAACAAAGCAATTCAATAAAATAGCAAAGCATAATAAAAGTAATATAGTAAAACAAATAGTTGAAAATTGGTTGGTCTTTCTCAACGAGTAGCTGAAAAATTTTCGAGCGTCACCCTTTTGATTTATATCTTGATGAATATATAAATTCATGAAATAAATGGTAAGTAAATGCCAAATAAAAATAAATTACATTAAAATAATGTAAGGCCATTAAAAGTTTTATAATACAAATTAAGAATGCAATTAAATAAAGTATAAAAATTAAAAATATTTATTTAGTGTTTTTAATAAATCGCCAATGTATATTCTCCTCCGACGTGGCCCAAAACAAAAAATACTGTATAAAATTTAAATAATGCCAAATACAAACTTTTGAAATTAAAAACCAGATAAACAGTTGATCGAATTAGAAGCAATAAGATAAATTAACATTTTTCCAAACTGCTATAAAATTGTCCCGGATTAAAAATAATTAAAATTTTTTAATTAAGATTTAAGAAACACCACCTTAAAAAAAATTGAAAATGGTAGGCTATTAACTTAAATTGTGAAATATTTCAACAAGCAAAAGATTTAAAAAATAAGGTAAAAGAATAGTTTAATAATAAATTGTATTGAGAATGCTTTTGAAAGATTAATGACTAAAAAAATGTTGCAAAACCTCAGAATCCATCCACAGCGTACTGATCAGATTAACAGATTAAATGCAGTAAGCTAAATTAATGTTTTTAAAAATATGTGTTTTCATTTTATCAAACTACCATCCTACTACTCAATTCGATTCAACACCTAATGTCAGTTTTCTTTCTTTCCAGTCGCATGGAATACGCACAATGAAACCAAGGAACATCTTTATCACAGGTTTTTAATTTTCTTTTTCCTTTTCATTTCAATTTATTATTCAATTTATTACTAAATGCATTCTTTTTCATAATTTTAGGGCTTTTGCCTTCGGAAATATTTCCTATTTTAGACTATAGTCTTCCATTCTCAACAAAAGCAACATGGTTTTGCTTCTTTGGGTTTTGACTTTAAAAATTTAATTACTTTTGTTATGTAGCGGTTTTACCATTTCTTAATTTGTTCAACGTATTTTGAAAAATATTAATTTATCTTAAGATATTTTTTCTGACCAGTGCCATGCGGATGGATTCTGAGCTCTTGTAACACTTTTTCCTAGTCAGTAATTTCTCCAAAGAATTCGCATTAGTATTTAATATTAAATTAATTCTTATCCCCAATTTTTTAAGTCTTTTGCTTATTGAAATATTTCACAATTTAGGCTAATAGCCTACCATTCTCAAACATTTTTTTTTAGTTTCGTTTCCTTAAATCTTGATTTTAAAAATTTAATTGCATTTAATTTGTAACAGTTTTTTAGCAGTGATGAAAAATATCAGTTTAGCTTATTACTTATAATTTGATCAATATCTGGTTTCTAATTTGGATTTATATCTGGTTTCTAATTTGGATTTATATCTGGTTTCTAATTTGGAAAATTCTTATTTTATACTGTATTTTTTGTTTTGGGTCATGTCGGAAGATTCTTCCTTTATTATTTATTAAGAATTTAAAAAAATTTTAAGAAAATTATATTTTTTTTTGCATTCTTTATTTATTATTAAAAAATTATGCCTTACTTATTTTACATAATTTTAACTTGTTTTTATTTGAAAAATACTAATTTTGATTTTACTTTATGAAATTATAATCCGCAGATAATTCAGAAACGTAGTTCTTTGAAAAATTTTCAGCTGCTCCTTGAAAAAGATAAAAAAAATTTTAACTCTTTTTTTTTTACTATGTTATTTTTATTATGGTATTTTATAGAATTGTTCTGTTTTGGATCCAATGTTATAAATAAATACTTCCTGTTAGACTGTTTACCAGCATTTTATATATATATAATGTAGTAGTTGAGAATACTCGTGTATTCGAAAAACAGTTCCGTGGCTACTTAAGATGAGAGAACGGAGAAGAAAACCTTTCAGACGTGGCCTCTGATTTAAACACATGATTTGATTTTCGTATTAGAACAAGCCTTGATACGCATAAACAGATTCACACAGCACCATTTATGGATTCGGTAGCTTACATCGTCTTAGACAAAGTAAGAAGCGGAAAGCAAACTTTGTTTGGCTAGCAGCAAGGCGAAGCAGGAAAAAAAAGGGGCTGCGCAATAGTAGCAGTGGTATTTATAGACTTCATTTCTTTGCTTTGAGCTGTGCGATTTGATGAAAGCCACTTGCAGAGCAGAAGGACTACGTAAGCAAGCATGAACGAATTAATTTGGAAAGACGCAGTGCAAAAAATTATTATGAATACCCTGCTGGCCACAATAAATGCAATACCCTGAAGGAAGCATGAAAATAACATGAAATTTACAACATGCATTAGCGGAGGTGAGCTATGCTAATGATTAGAATTTCAGCGCAGTCGCACATCACGCGCGCCTGTGGCGCCACTTCAAAGCGCTATTTAAGGCTTGGAGTTTTCGTCGATTTCAAGTTCGGCAATTGTGTTCTTTCTTGTGGTTTTTCAAAACGGGGGAAAAAACCCCGATCAGTTATGTCTCGTAGTAAACAGCGATCATCATTTGATCCAGTATCCGAGTTCGACACAGGAAGGATAGTGTTCTACCGAGAGTGTGGATTATCTTTCAGGGAAATCGGTAGTCGTGTTGGACGACACTAAACAACTGTAATGCGGATATGTGACCGTGGGATGCAGGAAGGTACGGCGGACCGACATGTTCTATCGCATCCACCTCAGTGCACCACTTCAAGTGATGACAGGAACATTGTGCGCATGGCAGTGACGGATCGCTCAGTCACATTACGAACCATATCACAGCACATTCACTCTGTAACGCATCATCCAGTGTCTGCGCGTACCATTCAACGCCGTTTAGAGCAGAGTGGTCTGTCCGCAAGACGTCCATTGCTTCGTCCAAGGAGGTTAGAATAGAAGGAGGGAAGGTTCAACTCAAACGGTGAAGCTTGGCGGCCATGTTACTGTTATCACTGTGACTTGTGCAAGGAAGTCCGGTAATTGTAATTTTTTTTCTTCCTTTTCTTTTTGAAGCATGTCACTTATATGTCATATGGATGCACAAATAGATTTTCAAAAAATATTCCTGAGATTACTGTTCACTCGTAAGTATTGATTTTCTTTTTGTTTTATGTAATTTCATAATATGTTAAAAAATATCACAATGTCATGTTGTTTTCTTTCCAGATGTGAAAAAAAAGACTTAATAATAATCGAACTGTTTAAATATACATTTTGCTTTTGCTTACAGCTTGGTGTCTTCGTCCTTAACATACAATGGTATGTGCTAGTAATTAAAAACTGTATATTTGAACGCTTAGGTAAATAGTTTCATAATTTTCATGAAAAAGTAAAATCAATTTTTACTATTTTTATGAATTGTAAAAGGTGTAAATAAAGCAACGCTTTCTTTATGCATGAATTATTATTCATTTTTAAGTTTTGTGAACTGTTAACGAATATAATTTGTGCATTTGATCGAGATAAAACTGTTCAGTTGTTAAAATGTTTTTGCATAAGCTTACAAATTTCTGCTGAGCAGTATTGCGATAAAACGTAAGTAAAATATTTACACAATTGAACATGTGAAATATATCCAAAAATTTATATAGGTACATTTCTGTAATTCAGCTTAATATTCAAGGTAATTTCTTTGAGATTCATAAATATGAAACGCGCATAAACTGAAATCATTGAATTCACATAAATCTGGTTTATTTTATTAATATTATTTGCTTTTTGATATAAGGTTGTTGGTGTGAAAAAAATCTATTTAAACATTCATTTAAAAAAAAGCAACATGTTCCCATTTTTTTAGATAATTATCTGCTATTAATTTCAGGTAAAAATATCTAAGTGATTCTTTAATAAATTGTAATAATATTGCGAATAAATCAGAAATATCACTTCTTAAAGAAACAATTGGAAAGTACCCACAAGTTGATAATAAAACCTATACAAATTCTTGAAGTTATGCAGAAACATCATTTTAGATTTCGAACTATTTCTTAATGATTTTCTGTACTTAGTAATTACGGATATCATCTTTATAACTTTAAAACAAAAAAACTAACAATAGCGAAGCATTTCATTATAAATTTAAGATATTTTTACTGAAAAATCCCTGCATTTAACAGCTGAGAAACACGTACGTTTCACTACTGTATGGCAAATGTTTTGAAGTTACAAACATGGACGCCGCTTGTTCCGTGGAGCTTCATTCCCCGATAGTGGAGGAAACTGCGAACCCTCCCTCCTTCTATTCTAACCTCCTTGGCTTCGTCTACCCTTAACGCAGAACCACAGACGTCTCCGCCGCCAATGGTGCGATGAAAGAAGGATGTGGGCGACAGAATGGAATGAAATTGTGTTTACTGACGAGTCACGCTTCTATCTGCAACACCACGATGGTCGGATTCGAGACACCGTGGAGAGAGGATGCTGAAAAGCTGCGTTATGCACCGCCACAACTGGTCCTGCACCGGGTATTATGGTATGGAGCGGTATTGGATATCACTCTCGCACTCCTCTAATAGGCATTGCCGGTACTTTAAACAGCCAGCGCTACATCTCCGAGGTGTTGGAGCCAGTTGTCCTTCCTTACATTCAGGGCTTGCCCACACCATATTTTCAACAGGATAATGCGCGAACACACTGGCACGCATCGTCCAAGGGTTCTTCGTCAATCGCCAGATTGAATTGCTTCCCTGGCCGGTCGCTGTCTGGATCTTTCGCCGGTAGAAAACATGTGGTCCATGGTTGCTGAATAATTGACCCAGATTACATCTCAAGCTGCCACACCAGATCAACTTTGGCAACATGTGGAAGCTGCTTGGTCTACTGTACCCCAAGAACACATCCAAAGTCTCATTTGATACTTGGTCAACATGTTATCTACTAAATAAATTTTTGTGTATCTCTTCTCTTTCTTGGTGTTGCAATGTGGGTGGCCAGCAGTGTAGTTTAAAACAGAAAGGGGAGGCAGCCAAATTAAAAAAGGGCTATTGCAAGACAAAGCTAATATTGTTAGATACATTTTTAGATCACATATCCCCCTTTAAGTGAAAAACGGACATTAATAGGAAAAAAGAGATATTTTATTCAATTAGAGTTTTGACTTTGCAAATACTTTTCCATTGAGGTTTGAAGCAGCAAGTAACCATCGTGTTGACTAATTAATTGTACCAATTCTGCGTAGCTATCTTGAATATGCGATTATGTCTTGGGGGGACAGGACTCCAAATTTAGAACAATTTTTAGAACAGTTGGAGAGAACATTTCAGGAACTTTAAAAACTTATATTTTTAGAGAAAACTAAGTAAAGACATTAAAAAATTGGACTGTACATATATATTATATAATATATTTTTTTGAATGTTCAAGATATGAAACTTCATGCAACAAAAGCGGGTTGAAATGGTGAAACGCAAATGCTATGACTTTGAAGAAAACCCTTTCTTTCTCACTGAATAAGCACATATTTTATGCATTGTTCAAAATCCATCTTCATTTGCTAACGCTCTAATGGTTTTTTCCTCAAAGGCTTTTTATACGCGAACTTTTTTTCCTTTAAGAGGGAGGGGCTATGTAAATGTTAATATATGAAGGAAATTACTAACTTTAATTGAAAAGCCCTTATATCCTATTCTATAAATTTTCTGCGGTGGGCTACCACAGGGCCGGCATAAAATCGCTGAACCCGGAGTTGGTCCGGGTCTCGATCCCCAGACAACGAGCTTGTTGCTCTGGGCGGTTTCCGTGTTTTCCCTTCCATGTTAACGTGTACCGACAAGTTTCCCTTTGAAAGTCCT